GAATAGCACATTTGACCTTGGAAAGAGGGTTTTTATATCTTTCTGGACAATATATTTAAATGTTAATAGGTCTCAGTAGCGTGGGACTGATCAATTTCCCAAGCTGCTAAAGCCACATCATCACATTTTTTGAGATAATTAGATCAATATTATTACTTTCTTGTGGGAAAGGTTTTTAAACGTTTGCGCGTTGGATAAATGCTCTATTTAAGGATTATATTTAATATATAATTGTTTTAACATTACATATATATATATATATATATACACAAAGGAGCGTTTCCTTGTTCGTTAAATTCGGTTGGCCCGAGTCTGGATGTGCGCAAGGTAATCATAATATTCTGGTTAATTCAAAATTTAGAATTTTCATTATAAAATTTCAAAATTAAAAAGGTTGGATTCTAATTATGAAATTTTAACATTAATTAGGTTGAATTTTAATTTTGACATTAATAAGGAAAAAAAATATTGATATTTTTAGAGAAATTATTAACAATTAGAGGAGAAAAAATATTTTTAAAAGAATTCTTTATTAAATAATTTGAGATGTTTGGAAACGGATTTGCCTGAATTCGATTTGTACTAGGTAAAATCATAAATTTAGTTAACAGAGAAATTTTTGATTATAACATACAAACTTAACAATTTTACATAGAAATTATTTACATTATTTGAAAATTTATTGTGTTTTTATTAAGTTTCGTTAGAGTTCGTCTATTTGTTTTTTAAGTAAATAAACATGACTACAAATTCTTTCAATTCTAATCATTTCATTGAAAATTGCATTTAAATAACTCTTTTTTAGAAACATTAGAATGTCATGTAATTAGTTTTTTCATATTAAATTTATTATCATCTAGCTAATTCGTGACTAAAATTCTTCCAATATTTACTAAAGAATTTTTTCAAAATGAAAGAATTTTTTTTTTCACAAAATGTTAGTAATTTCTCTAAAATCATCAATATAAAACTTATTAAAATTCAACATTATCAATATTAAAATTTTCTAATTAAAATTCAACCTTATTAATTATAAATTTTGAATTATCCAGTATATTATGATTATCTTGCACACATTCTGATACTGGTCCATCCAGATACGGGTCAATCCAATGTAACTAACAATTCAAATCTACTTCAATAAGAACGTGCCATAACTTGCTCTTATTATTGTCTTTTTACGTTTCTAATTTCATGTTTTTTAAACTGAGTTAACTGTATTTTTTAATTGCATATATATATATATATATATTTTTGCGTGATTAATTTATTTTGAATTTTTTTTCCGTTCAATTTTTCATTTTTTCAATTTTCTAGGTGATCCTTACTTTATTGTATTGATAAATTTGAATTAATTAGGTTATAGCAGTGTTTCCCAAAGTGTGGTACGCGTACCCCTAGGGGTACGGAAACAGCTTAGCAGGGGTTCGCGTTCTTATGCGAAATATCTTGCAACAAACGAAAATTTCAAAAAATTTTATTCTAAGGCAAAGCTAGCCATGAAAATTTACGATAACGTATATTTCTATTGGCTATTTTTTACAGAGTTAACAGTTAATAATTAGTGGTGTCAACAGCTAGCTGTGATTTTTAACTTTTGTGCAATTTCTTTTAGTAAAAAATACATTCATTTTTTTGTTAGTGGTACACATGTGTACCATTGCGAAAAATGTAGAAAGGGTACGCAAAAGTCATAAGTTTGGGAAACACTGGGATATAGTAATACAATGTTTGAAAGCACTCTTTTTTCTGGATATAATCGTGTGAGTTCATGACAAGATTATACATTTACCCTATCTTGTTTTTTTTTTTTTTTTTTTTTTTTTTTTTTTTTTTTTTTTTTNTTTTTTTTTTTTTTTTTTTTTGTTTTTTAAACAAACAACGCTTGATGTTCTAATGAAAATATTCAAACAAGCATGGTTTCCAAAAACCATTTATACAGATCAAGGGACAAATTTTACAACCGTGTTAAAAAAAGCGTTTGTTAACATTTTGGCTAAAACTCCAATGTTTACTACTCCTGGAAATCCTGAAAGTATAGGAGAAGTAGTACGTTGGAATAGTACTCTAAAAGATTTGTTAAATGAGAACATTCAAGAAAATGTCAGTGACCGAGACTCTCACCTCCAATATCAGGTGTTCGCCTATCGAAAAGTACCACATAGTACCACTGGTATTCCACTATATCAACTAAAGGATAGATCAAAGGAAAAGCAATTTAAAATTGCAGATCAGGTTTAAATCCTCATCTTCTCACAAACTGTTGAGAACATGGATGGGTCCAGAAGCGATTGTTCAGTTGCCAAGGCATCACACCGCACTAGTAAAAATGGACAGAAGAATCAGAAAACTACATTTTATCAAACTTCAACAGCATGTAGCGGGAGTTGGTCAAATAATATGATTTTTGACCAAGAAAAAGAATTTGAAGATTTATATCAGTCACCCTGTGATACCATAAAATTGATTAAAGATGATATTCGAAAACATGTACTTAAAAATTCTGTAAATTTAAATTATTTGCAAAAACAGAGGCTAGTTAACAGATTGCAATATTTTGCTGATGCTTTTGATTACATCCCCAGATTAGCAAATGTAAATGAACATTCAGTGTTTTTATCTCCAGATTTCCTTCCAAAGAAAATGAAACCTCATCGAATACCTGTTGTTCCACAGGAAGAAGTGGATTAACAAATTCAAGAACTACTTTGGCTAGGGCTGATAGGAACGAGTAATAGTGAATGAGCTAAAAATCAATTTTCAAAAATCGGTGGATAAAGCTAATTTCCATCTTGCAAATACTATCGATCATATATCGATGATATTGCAATATTTTATGACTCTAGGAATGATAACCTTTATCATATTAACCAAGTCTTCAGAACCTTGAACGAAGTAGGGCTGAAAGTGAATCTTAAAAAATGTGACTTTGGAAAAAACTCAGTAAAAGTGTAAAGTCATATTATCGAATACGAACATCATTCCACCGATCCCGAAAAGGTTAAGGAAATACAAAAGTTAGGCCGACCATCCACTAAGGAGGAAGTCAAATTCTTCTGCGTTTGGCTAGCTATTATAGATTATATTCGGAAATTTTCAGATATAATCTTACATTTGACCAAATTTCCCAAGAAAAACAAAAACGAGACACAAACAATACTCTTTGAGACGACTCAGCTGAACAGTCGTTTTCTACTCTCAAAGAATGTTAACTGAAATGCCTTCGCTGTACACTCCCAATTTGGAACGACCATTTCAACTGTTTACTGACGCTAGTACAACTGTCTCAGGAGCCAGCTTATCATAAACTGATAAACATGGAAAAGAAATGTCAATTGCATTTTTGAGCAAGAAATTATCAGAAAGCAAAAAAAAAAAAACTAACTTTCGATCGAGAGGCCTTTTCAGTAATGGAGGCGTTAAAACAGTTCAATACATGAATTTTTAATTCCCAAATCGAAGTCATTTCCGATCATGAACCACTCACATATTTGACATACAGTGCTGAGCTGACAAAGAGGACCTTAGCATTTCAACGCTAAAATGTTAAAATTGCAAGTGGGAAAGGTAGTGCACATGCAACGCAGATGCCTTGTCAAGATTACCTGTCAAGTGAAATAATATAAGTATAATGCATATAATTTCATTTGTTAAAATGTTTAGAATGTAATCTTTAAATTTAATGATCTGTGCTTAAAATTTCCAACTTTGTTTAGGGTTTTCGGAGTCATATTTCACTGGGCTCTTACATTTTATATGTAAATAGCTAGAAGTAAATTTTTTCAAACGTGTATATTTTTTTTCTTTGTAGCATTTTCAGTTAGACACTTCGTCTCCTTCCGAAGCCAAATGCTTCACCAAAAGTCATAAGAGTGAAATTCAGAGTTATATAAAGGGAAATATCAATTTTGTTATTGAGAGAACGATTAGACGTTTCCTCCTAGAGGGAAAAAGAACTGTTTTTCTTTCTTTTTAGATTGGTAGATGAGTCCATAGGTTGAGCTCGCTTAAAGATGATATGTTCCTGATTTCAGCGTTATGTATTTATTTTTGTTTTATTGAATTTGTTGTGTAATTAAAAAAAGGCATCTCCAATGATCCGTTTTAAGCATAAACACATCACAATCCTTATCAATAGTAATAATTTAAAACTTTAAAGAAAACTAAGACAAAAATTATTTTAATTAAAAACATTTACATTGAAATCATATTATCTCCTCGCCAATTCCCTTAATTTTATCCCCAAAAATACTGTAATCTGATATATTATTCATAAAGGCAAAGCAGAAAACATCATTATAATATTACGAGGAACACCAAAGAATGAGATACGTTATCATAATTTAATCAAGCAAAAATATCAAGCAAATTCAAAATATTTATTCAAGGTATCAAAAATTGTCGAAAAACTCAATTTATAATAGAACTTACGATTATTTTGGAGATCTGAAATGTTGCCAATAAAAAAACGATGATAATAATATTTCACATTACAATAAGAAGAAAAACTTTTAATTATATTTATCTATTATTGATTTGATTGTTTGTAAATTACATTTCGAATATAATAAAATTACAGAAGTTAACTTTCATGACAATAGATAGGAAAAGCATTTCATCACATTTATGTATAAAATATTTAACTCCTGCAAATTAACATTATGGTAAAACAGAAATTAGAAATAGTAGAAACCTTATAGTTACAATAATTACTAAAATACGTATTTAATATTTATGTTTATGAGTTATATAAAAGTTTTGAGAAGAGGGGATGTTCAACTTACCCTATCATTTTCAAATTTAAATAATTGGTGAGTACAAAGCTGGAGCGTGGTACAGGGAAACCTCTTTTTACGGACAATCTATCAGAAGTAACTAACTCTACACGAAACGAATGAACCATTGTATTTCCCTCCAAAAGGCAAACGCTCTCTTTAAAAAATCTTTTAGTTAAATTGTTTTTTAAATCTTATGCAAAAGCTTTAAAATACTTCAAAACGGTTAGACATAAATTTTACAATAATGTGAGTGTGCTTTATGGAGAATATAATAACCCAATTAGAGGAACGAATTTTCCTAAGGGAGACTGAAAGAGGAATAACTAATATTTCTTAATGGCATTTGAACAACGATTGATTGCTCTATTCCGATTTCTTTATTTTATGATTGTAGTGTGCTTGAAAAAAAATTCTTTTCCTAAAGGACAACGGGTCGATATATTTTATAAGTTGTTGTTATCACAGAATTTATAACTAAAAAGTACTTCATTTGTAACTCATTCCTAGAATTTACTACAATAGTTCAAAGATGATTGAAAAAATTATGTCTCATAAAATAGAGATATTTTTCCAGATTTTATGCAATAAATGAAACCTCGAAGCGATGAGTTTCCATACACTAAATTACCACCGATGGTAAGTTTGGGAAAAAGTTCCATTCCCTTAATTTGTAATTAAGATATTAATGCAGACATTTCAGAGCAATGCTATAGAATACTAATTACAGCAGACAATATGAATCTTTGTTTTTGAACTAAGCAACCAAATTTTTCTACTCATTAATTTAATGACATGTTGTAGAATTGTTTTTTGGCTAGTGACTACCAGCATTTTAACCACTCTAACGTTCTTTCTCAACCCATCCAAAATTATTCTAGCATAAGATATTTATTTCCCACGAATTAGCAACTTCATATAAAATGATATTTGCTAATTGGTTATTTATTGTCTTGCTTTTCTCAATATTTTGTTAAATTCTTTTTCGTCAAATAGGATATTTACAGATAAATTTAAAACGTAAATTGCTAGAATTGATGTGTGCGCTGTTAAAAACATAATTACTTACCAAACAGTCCATCCTTAGCTGCAATTAAACTTGGTTTAATTAAATAAGACATAAAAGGAAGAAATAGTTCTTAAAATTATTAAAATTTTTAAACGATTTTACAAAGTGGAATGCTATTAAAGACATCTTGGATAACAAAGATCACATACTGAAAGTCTAAACAAAAATATGTTCTTTTCAATTATTAATATGATTATAAATATATCAAACGTTTTAACATGATTTACTGGAAAATTCGATTCATCTTAGTTTTTTTAATTTCAATCTTTACAGAGCAAACTTTTTATTTAAATAGATTGAATATCACAAGCATCTGTTGTTTTTCACTTCTGGATAACATATTGAATATCAAATTTGTTGAATATCAGATTTCAATGAATATCATCACTGAGTATAGGATTTATTGAAAATTTAATTAATATTTATTTCAATAGAGTATAGATATAATGTAAGTTTAGGCAATATGGCAGTAGAGGTAAGATGGCTAATTTGAATATTCCCGATATTTCTTTTTTATCTATTACATTTGATGTGATTTAGAAGGAGGCAGTTTAAATTGTTTATCAATTTGGACAAAGCGTTGTTTTTTTTGCTAAAAAAAATGTGTAAAATTTAAATTTTATTTTATTTCGTTGTATAATATTTTTCGGTGAATAAGATATTTTTGTTTTTTTAATAGTTAATTTATTTTTGTTTTCAACTAGCTGGACTTTAAAGGCGCACGTATAGTCCAATCTTTATTTATGAGTAAGTGCAAAGGAATATAATAGCTGAATGATGTTATAAATACGGTGGCTATCACATCCTTCAATTTTTGAAGAAATGACCACAAAAGTTCAACAAATATTGTCCAAATTTTATTATTGAGTATAAACCTATAAATGATCGTAAACACCTTCAAGAGTTTAAGAAAAGTTTAAAAAAAAGTTTTAAAAAAATTTATTTTAAAAAAATTCTTATTCATCTCGATGCTTCATATTTTTAAATTTATAAATCTAGAAGCAAAAGTTTTGGCTTTTTAATGGTTTTTATTTGGTAAGTTTCAAAATTTTAAGATTAATGCTTACAAAAAAGAAATCCTCAGCATTTTTTTAATACTATTGAATTTTTTTATAAATTTATAAAAACAGTACAAAAGCATGCATATTTGATACCGATTTTAAACATTTAACATATAATCCAAGAAATCCCTATGACCAACTACACAGAATCTTACAAATTATCGAATTCTATAGACTCAGAATTGGATGACTATCAGCGTGCTAGCTGTGGTGGAGAAGAAAACAGTATGCCATCAAAAAATTATGACTGGATAAAAATTATTAGTAGCGCAGTGGCCCCATAAAACTTGTACGAGTTTTGAAAACCGTTGGAAAAAAATCTGACGAAGTTTTATTTTTCGAAAGTGATGGATTAAATAAATACATTATATTTGTTTAGAATGTTCGTTTTACTTTATTTCCTTGATAGAACTCTTTAAGTTCAACATAACTCAAGTTAAACACGGTTAACTGCATAAAATGTGCGAATTTTCACACTTCAACTTTTCTTTAACTCAGTTGGATGACTAATTCACCTCGACATTAAGGAGAAATGGCTTCTTGCAAGTTTTTTTATTTCAATCATTTTTTTTTCTTCATATTTTGTGCTCAGTATTTCTTTGTTACTTGCACAAAATGTGTTGATTGCATGCATGATAATTTAAAATATTCTTGACATTTGATAATTTAAAATATGATTAAAATTTAATTGATAATTGATAATTTAAAATATTCTTGACCTCTATTCTTTGTACTTTTATTTCCACTTCATAATACTATGGCCATCTATCCTAAATTTATCCTATAATTTTTGAAATAATATTTATCACTGGAAATAAATATTGCACCATTAACAAAACGATAATATCAATTTTAATCTCTTGAATTAAAGCATTTAAAATGAAAAAATATCCGCATTGTTGATATCTACGATAAAAAAAATGCTTTTACGTTAATCTAATATCATGGAATTCTAGTGTTTAAAAAATGCTTATTTATTTACGATTTTAGTCAAATAAATAAAAATAAAAGAATTTGAATCAATATTGCTTTATCGAAAAACAAACACACACACTTTTTCAAAATTTCGTTAACAGCAGCATTTATCCATCAAACTAAATTAAATTCCATATAAAATCATTGAGGTAATTGCATATTGAAATTAATGGTGGTTATTTATATTTTCAGTTATCTAAAACTTTTAGTTATCTAAAAACTTGAAGTTATCTGAATTAATAAGTTGATTTATCAAACTGAATTTTTTTAATTAAATATTATGTATTTTTTCTTGAGAAAGCATGAGCAAGTTTTTTTTCATGAAAAATATTTCATGACAAAGTTTATACATGAAATTCAGCTTTAATATAAACAGGATTCAAAAAATTTCCCATTTGTTTAATCTTTCGGTATATATTTGACAGTCTTAAGCTGTTTTATTGATAAAAAAAGTTTAGCTCTGTTCTTCCCCCTATAATCATAAAGTATTTTTGCTTAAAATTAAGGTGAGATATATTTTATCTTTTTTCAAATAATTTGAATTATATTTAACGATTGTTTTTACTTTACAGAAATTATTTTATGGTTTAGAACATCATATGAATGAAATTGTGAATCATTTTAATAGTCAAATTGATATTTTATCAATTATTATCTGTCTTTAGAATAATTTTTCGGTCATTTGAATTGACAGACGATTTTATAAAGCCAAGATAGTTCAAATCAATGCTGTATTTAAATATGATATCCATAAGATCTTTCTTCATAACTAAATTGTCATAACTTGAATTTGTCTTCATAACTAAACACTTGAGCTGCCATGGCTCAGTTTGCAGAGCGATTATAACTTTTAATAAAGAGTAGTCATGGACAGTTTAAGTCTCTGAAATAGAAAATAAATTTAAATATTACTACTACCGGATTTTTTTAATGAAAAAGTTGCCGACCCTGCAAAATTACCCGGGATTCCTTCGTATTTTTTCTTTAATCTTCTTTTGTATCTTTTTTTCAAAGTTACTTTAACAAAATGTTTACAAAAAAAACCAACTAATAAAGACAAATTTGTAAAACATGGTAATTAAGAAATTGCTACTACTTACTGTCCTTAACAGTGTCTGAAAAAATATTGATTATGAAAGATAAAAGTGAAAATACAAAAATAAAACTAGTTTTAATAAGTCAATATTTTTAAAATTGTACTACAGATCAAAACCTTTAAACATTGTAGCAAAACTTTAGTACTCAGTTCATGTTTACCTTTTTTTAACTCGCCAATGACAAATAAAAATTCGTTATTAACCAAATTTGTGAAATATTTGTTAAATAAATACTTAACCCTTTAATAGTTGTTTTGATACAACTTCACCCTTTATACTGCCCGTACATTGATGTTTTTAAGGAAAATATTCCTACTGCCTGGTTTATACTATACTACTGATTGTTTTTCATGGTTAAGTATCACTATCTTTATTGTTGAGGCACCTATTCATCCCTTTAGGAACTCTGCAGGTAGATCTCACATTGCGATAAAACCTAAAATTCATTTCATTCATATGTAAAATAGATATATTTAATTCTGTGCTTTATTTTCTTCGAGTTGTATTAGTTATGTATTCTGGGTTCAACAAAAGTTCACAATCTCTAGGAGCCAGAGTTATGACACATGCTGTAAAAATTAGCACTAATACGTTTTGCTATAATGATATAAGAATAAGGATAAATATGTTAATGACAATTAATATTTTTAATATAATACTATCAACAAATAGATAAAATATCTAAAAATATATAATATATATTTAATATAAAACGTTTCAAATTCGAACTTATAGAAAAAGCCAATATTAACGTTTGAAATGGAATTGGCAATAATCTGAAATTATTGCACTTTTTAAGAACATTAGAATTAATTTTTACAAGAACATTAGAATTTATTTTTGCACTTGCAGCATAGATATATTTGTGTACTAATCACATGGTTGTGCATGTTGTGCTAATAATACAGCTTTTTACGCCTTGGAACTGACCAATTCATAAAAGTGGTAGCTTAAATGCAGGCATTTATTTTGCTTTCACTTTAATCAATGTTAGTCGGATCACATATATGATCAATATTATTTCAAAAGTAAATTGTATAATTTTTATTTTGAACTGAATTTGTCCTAAATAATATAAATCAAACTATTGTAACCCAGCCCTCAAAGAAACTGATAAAGAATTAGTTTAGTAACCAGCTTTATCTTTTCCCCCAGATTGATAACGTTTCATGCCGGCACGCATTTGTGACTGACGTCGCGAAAGGATTAAGGCTTGGGTTTATTATCAGGCTGAATAAATTTTTGGATACGGTTGCAACGACAATTTTTCATTGGTAAAACTCGTTGCTCCAACAATTCCTCGAGAGCACAATATCTTGCCGTTTCTGTGAAATAGATCTTAGTTCAGTAAATGAAGCATTAAAAATACTGTTTCTTCTTTAATTTTTTTTTTGGCAGAAAGCATTGGTATGTTATTATAAATGATTTCTGAAACTCTCCAACTCATTTCTATACGTTTCTCACATTTGACGGAAAGAATTGAATTTCTTCCAAACAAGCTACTTTCCGGTGATTATTTTTACGCTAAATTGAATGAGACACTACGAGATTCATTTGATTGTATAGTTTAAAAGTTAAAATCCCTTTACTTTTTATATTGCTAGCGAAGCATGCAAGGTACATTTTCCTAAGTAATTTTTCATGCTGAGATAAAATTCAAGTCAATAGTATAGCTTGGAAATTACAAGGAATTTCTTCATAATAACTACAATTTAAATTATAGTTCATTTCATAAAAAAATTGCAACTTTTGCAATTTTTATTTTCTCTATTTGTGTTTGTTTTCATTCAATTTAGCGAGAAAAAGCAAACATAGGGAACAAAACCTTACTTACCTGCATTTCAACATGAGATGAGTAAATAAATTTAAGTATACGACTGCAATTTTTGCACACAAAAGTCTTATTTATCTGTTCATGTTATCAATTCCAGTTATATCTCAATCATGTCCGTATAAACAGGCAAGAGGTTAGAGTTTATGGGTGTATGGTTAATGTTTCGCATTAATTGGGGTAAAGAAAGTTACAGCATTTCTTCAATTTTTCCAATTGGAAATAATTTCTCACCTGTTTTATAGCAGCAGACCAACTTAGACTTCTACGCGAAAGGTTTTCTTCGTAAGCTGCAGTTTTTGTTTTATTGACGCAGTTTTGTTATCATATATATTTTTTTTCAATTCTGTCAAAATATGAAAAACTCGTTTACAAAATTATCCCCGCGTAGGATAGTCAATATCAATGATTTTGTAGCACCATATAAAAAGCTGTGTGGTACATGCTCATTTATTACCACAAGACAAATTACTATAAACAATGTCTATTAAACTTAAAACTTAATTACTTACCGCCAACTAAACCAGCCTCTGCAGATAATTAAAGTTTAATTAAATACTGATGTAAAAAATCAAAGACAATTTTATCTAATATCTGATATATACATACACTACTGGTCTTTAAAATTGCTACCCCACGAAGGAAAGCAAATATCAGAATATATATTTATTGGGTATATACATTATAGTTGGAAGAACAAGTGATTGAATTTTCAGGATATTTGGATGTAAAGATCCTGAGGAATCAGTACTATGAACAGCCTCCCCTGGCAGCATTAACAGCAGTTATTCTTATGGGCATCGAGTCGAACAGAGATTGAATAGCATGGACGGGTACAGTATTCCATGCAGCTTCAACATTATGCGACAATTCATCGACAGTAGTAACTGACGAGTGGTGGAGTGGCAGTCGCTTAGCAACCATTTACTAGACGATTTCAATAATTGAGAGATCAGGAGAATGTGCTGGCCATCCTCATATTTTTTTAAAAACAAATTTTTGAATTTCGCGTATTTAATGCCTTTTATTTCCAGAATTAGGTACTTGCAAGTCCAGAAGAAGTAAAGTGATAATGCATAGTCAATAATTTAAATTAGATTTAATCGGAAACATGTGAGCAGCGTCACGCGTGTGTATCGAATCTGATTCGCTTCTGAATCCACAAATGCCATGATTCACATACGTTGATGTTCCTGGACATTCAATTATGAATTTGTTTTACTTACAAATATCAATGATGAATATTTTTGACAAATTTATACCTGTTTTGAACAGAATATTATGTGTAATATTTATTTTTTTACCTTTTTTCAGCAACTTCACGTTTAGCTTAAAATAAAACGTCCTTACTGTTGAGACTCTTCACCTACATATCTTACACCAATTTAATTTCCTCTGGATTGTCAAAATCTAAATCATCATACTCCCTTTTATCCACCGTAGAGTTAAAATTCAGAGTGCCATCTAACTCATCACCAAACATTTCACAAATAGATTAAAGTTTCATCAAAATATTCATTGTTTCATTTTATCACCTTTTCTTTTGTTGCAGAACACTCTATCGAATCTCTTATTAGTCCAAACCTATTTCGGTCAGATTTCTCATCAAAAGTCAACACACAATATAATGCAGATTCCACTTACTGACTCAGATATTTAAAATGCTAATGACTGAAATTTGTATTTACGCAGGCAAAATATCTGGAAGAATGAAAAACGAGATGAACTGCTCAATATTAAACATAACACAAAACCTTATAAAAACCTAAACATTTGTCTAAAGCTTGAAGTATTTCGATTTCGTTCACGTATTGGTCATACGCGCATAAATCATAAGCATCCCTTGTTAAACTAGCCAGCAACCGATTGTTCCTCTTTTAAGAAACCTTTTATTACTAAGCATATTTTTGACCTAATGCAGCCAATTTAAAATTCAGAGACAACGTAATTTCTTTAACTTAAATCCGTCATTAATTGATGTGATAATACTGAGTATAATGTTATTCTTTTCTCAAGAACGCTGATTATTTATGCATCCATATAGCTTTTAAACCCTACCTAAATATATTAAGTTAACTTACAAGGGAAACTAGGGAAGTCTGACTCGCCAATTTTGAAATAAACTAGTGGGATGTATGCCTTATGAGGAATAATTTTAGGGGGCAACATTCGTTTCGGCCATAGAAGGCCCTGTGAGAGAGGAAAAATAATTCAATATATAAAAAAATCGGTATTTCATTACTTCAATGCAGACTATTAGTTATTGTAATTATCTCGTACTCCAATTAATTTTGTGGTACTTTCACGTACTATATAATGCATATTTATTGTTAAAATTGATTTCGAAAATTTTATATATCTGTAATTTTTCAGAAGAACCTGTTAGATTAATTTTTGAAAAGAATTTGACATCAAATTTTTGTAAATTTATTTTCCCAATTAATTGGAGTATGTAATTGCAAATCAATTAATTAATAATTAATTAATAACTGATTAATTTGCTATTTAATTTATTAATTTGCTAATTTATTAATTAACCAATTAATTACAAATTAATTGGAGTATGAGACAATTACAATAACTAATAGTCTGCATTGAAGTAATAAAATACAGATTTTTCTATATATTGAATTATTTTTTATCTCTCACAGGACCTTCTATGGGCCGAAATGAATGTTGCCCCCTAAAATTATTCCTCATAAGGCATACATCCCACTAGTTTATTTCAAAATTGGCGAGTCACACTTCCCTAGTTTCCCTTGTTAGTTGTTGGTGCGACTGCCAATTATGCCAATAACTAACTAACTATCTAACTACTCTGCTAATATTTAAGCAAATAAACAGATTTATATAAGCTTTTTTTTTCAGTGTCGCTGGCAATACAAATAAAAATAACACTTTATATCGGATTTTCCTTATCAATACCAAATTTATTAAAATATTGGGGAAAAAAAGCACTACCGTTTTAGAGTTTAATGAATTCTTAAACTAAAAAGTATGAAATAATATATTTTTAAATATTTAAAACAACAACTATTCTATAGCTTTAATGAAGAAGTTAGAAATAAAAATTTGAGTATAACTTATAGGAATCGAGTTGATGTAGTATCAGTTAATTTTTCAAATAAATTGACCATTTTATATAAAGTTATCTTAAAATGTGTTGGAAGAATTTCCTATAAAGATAATAAAAAGGTTATTCCAAGATAAGTTTTGATATAAAAGGAATGTAATGTCTGAAAAATTAACAAAGTATTAAAATAACATCAACTCGATTTTTATATTTTACACTCAATATTTAATTTGTTGCTTTTTCATAAAAGTTAATTTTTAATTTCTTAAAATTTTATCAACCTTTTTTCAGCTTCTCTACATAGTTTATAAGTAATAGAACGCTAAGTAGCTTTGTCGTTCATAACCTATTTCTTTTGTTTCAATTTTTTTTTTTTTTTTAAAAAANAAATGCTTCCTTTAAAGTGAAAAATAGAGATCTAAATCGTCAATGTTCATCACAAATTGAAATAAAGCACGCTTAAAAGAAGAATATATTTTGATGTTTTGCAACTGAAATGGTAATTTATTATATAATTTAGGTGCTAAGTAAAAAAACTGTTTTCGTGAAATTTCTTTTGTAAAGAAGGGAATCTCATACATTTCAGTTGGTCTCCTTTCAGACACATTAGTTTTTAATTTGCATATTAATTTATTGTTGTGTAAATAGAGTAAAATACGAAAAAATACATTATGGCGAAATGGTAATAGGTTAATTCTTGTATATATATTGGTAGTAGTTACACTTGAATTATTTATATTTAGAGAATTAATAATCTTGAAGCATTTATTCTGAACTGAGATTAAGGGAAGTAAATTAGTTTTATATTCACCGCCATATATTATCGCACCATAATTAATTAAAGAATAAAACCAGGAGTAATAGAGTGCTTTCACAAAATTAAAATGAATTTTATTCTTAAGGTGATAAAATTTAACTAAAACGAAACGCAATTTTTTAACTAAATTGTTAATATGTGTTTTCCATTTTAAATTAGAATCGATATATAGTCCTAAATATTTGATATTGTTTACAGATTTACATGATATTGTTACAGATTTTGCATTAGATTATCGATATTACTAAGCATCATTGGTGTCAATAATTTTTTAGGTGTTTCATAAACAAATTAATACCAATTTCTTATTAATTTTGTTTTCAATACAAAAGAATTTTTGAAAATTATTTATTATAAATATTAAAATTTTTATTTTATTGAAACATGCTTTAAAATATTACTATAATACTCATGCGGTACCAGGTACTTTACGGAATACTGATTTGGTAACGTAGCTTAAGAGTGCTGATCTTTTAATGTTGATGATTGAATTAATCCGACACAGTAATAAAAAATATTTAAAGTTTAATATAGTTGCAATAAACTTGTAATAATTTCCAACTTTGAAATTCAATAAGGAAGTTGAAATCAGAGGAAAAGATCAATAACTTTCCTTCAATTTTAAAGACATTGGGAGGGATAAACCTTCTTTGTGTTAATTCATCTTTGATGGATGATAAAATGAGAGAATAATTTTAAATTTTGGCATCCTACAAAGAAGTTGGAATTAAAAAAAAATCAATAACTTTTTCGTTTATGAGAAATGTGAGAAGTTGAGTTCACTGAGTTGATTCATAATTAACAGCTGAATATATGAAACTATTTTTGGTTTTGACACCCCATCCGGAAGTTGAAATCTGAATAAGAATTTTTGTAATTTTCTTTTTATTTAGGAATATTTATTTATTTAAGAATATTTAATTTTTTATTAATATTTTACGTTAAGTCCTTATTTTAGACTTTATTTAGATTTCTAATAGATGGATGACTGATCATTCAAAACTCAAAAAAATATTTTTTGAACATCAGTACTAAACAAAAGACATTATTATTTTAAACATGTTTTTCATGTTGCAGAATATGAGAAAATATTGCAATTAATATTGCAAGATTTTTGAGGTACAGGCCCTAAATCCTTTTTAAAAAAGTTAGCTATATTTTTTTAGAGAAAAAACAACATTTCTCTGCCTTCGTTATTTAAAATATCACATGTATACTAAGAAATTTGTATTTTTATGGATATCCCTTTGAACAATCAAATTAGATTGTCACTATGTTTCGCTTTTTCTTAAATATGTGCCCTATACTCTTAGAATTTTCATTCTAAAATTACGGTAAAAAATCTGAAGCATTACATGAAATTAAGCATAAAGTAAGGAAAACTATAGTTGTATAAAACATTCGCAATTAGAATTTTTTAAAAATTGTGAATGCTAAACTACAACTTTGTAACCATTTTCAACCAGTATGATTCCAAAACCGTAAAAAAGGAAATTCAATTAGACATTGGACACAGTTGAGACTTTCATTAGTAAATAGACATTGACATTAGGTTGTGGAGGAGTTGTGTTTTGTGCACTGAACCATGGAATGCAATTTAATTAGTTAACCTAAAGTTGCTATTATCAATCATGAAATATGAAAAATACTATGCTTTTTTACTAAGCTGTTCTTTGACTCTCTAGTCTGGGCATTAATGACCCATCTTACTATAATATTTTAGAGCTCTATTTTGAGCACTTCTAATTAATTAATTTTTATTTAACAGTAGCCCTTTTTATTATGAATCTGTACTAAAGTTATTAATGTGTTTCACTTTTTTATCTTTTATTTTGAGCATTAAGCGCACTGCTTAGGTTTCTTAAAAGTTTGTTGCCATTTGACATCGTTGAAATGACTATTAATAACAAATAACTGGAAGAAAAATTTGAGCAGAAAATTGCTTGAGGGGTACAGGAGTGCAGGACTCTAGAAACTTCTTATATGTTAAAAAAATAATGGAAATAATGTTGTGTCAATGCTGGGATTCGAGGCCTTGCTCAACCTCTCATAAGAATGACAAATTAATTCTCCCTGCTAAAGTATGCAAAACCAATTCAAAATCCCATCTGCACAAAACTAGTTTCTTCATAAAGAGTAGCGTTATTGGCGAAATTAAAATTTTGGTTGCGTTACCGCATTAGATAAAAAACTGTCTTCAAAACCTTTTTTTAAAAAAAAAAAAATTTGAACACCAACTTTTTGTGGTCGACTGTTTCAGTTGAAGATAGTAAAATAACAATATAAAGAATTGCTTCCTAACCATTTTTCCGATAAATGTTTAACGGTGTAATTAATTTCCATTTTAAGATTAGCACCTTTGATTATAAATCTGTATGAAAGTTAATAATGCGTTTCACTTTTTTGTTTTTTATTTTGAGCACTATGCATATTGCTAAGGTATTTTAAAAGGTTATTGCCATTTGACACCGTTTAAACGCCATTTGACATCGTTTAAATGACTATTTATATCAAATGACTGGAAGAAACATTTGAGCAAAAAATTACTTACGTATTTGGACTAGGATGACAAGTAAAACGAGTAAGAGAAGTACTTTATTAAAAGTCATATTTTTTTCTTTTCTAAACTGTGCAGATAGAAAACATGAATTCAATGAGTACGACTCTTTCCTTTTATATTGATACACCGATACGATAAAATCTAATAATTTCATGATTAAAATAACTAATAAAGAAGAACTGCACGAAAAATAGATAAAAATAAATGTAATCGATTTCGTAGAAATTGTATTTTGATAACAATCACATGCAATTTAAAACGTCACAATTATGTTTCAGTGGAATTCTACGGGTTCTAAAAATTCGGTATAACAAAATTTTGCTACAAAAAGACCAGTAATATTATCCAACCAAAGGTGAGGTTGCTATTATTGAAAAAGCTCCTTTGTTGAGTTTCCTCCATTATTCTTTTAACTATTTGTAGCAAATGCTACCTGCTGACTGCTTTATAAACCTTACCTAAGTTCTTAATTCCGAATCTCGATTCAATTAACATTCTTGAATAAAAATTCAAACGAATTTTCTGAACAAAAAGTATGAAGATGTTTGATTTAAAAAATAGGATTACATTTCTAATAAAAATATAATAATATACATTTATAATTAAACTATTACACAAAAAAATAAATATTAAGATTAAAAATTTAGTTAAATTCATAATTTAAAAAAATTAAGATATAAAAAAATATCAGCAAGAAAATTAATAGGAAAATAGTCCCCTTAAAAATTAAACATAACTCTTCTGTGATGGTAGAGTTGTCACATTTGATTGATGTAGTTACATGCAGTTTTCATCCTCATACCTGTGTTTGACACCAATCCAATCGCTCAAAAAGAGGGGCTAGTCTGAACCTTAGAGAAGAAATGAGGTAGAAATAGCCAGTCTGTTGTTTGGGCTCTGAAAACTTGTTCAAAGATGGGGGTTACCTTTTTGGCGAAAAATTTATAACTGGCGGTCGCATTGTACCAACACCTCCTAGATAAGAGCAGACCTCAGCACGGGTTACCATATATATCCTTTAATAATGACATATTTCGTATTTTCAACCATTGCCCAGCTTAGTACCCTTAACGAAATGACATCTTTCTTATTTTTCATCTACTGCGCAGTTAACTTCGTTAGATTGGACTGCTAAATTGATCCGTGCTGAGGCAACACCTCCTAGATAAGAGCAGGCCTCAGCACGGGTTACCATAAATATCCTTTAGTAGTCCAAACGTAATAATGACATATTTCGTATTTTCAACCATTGCCCAGCTTAGTACCCTTAACGAAATGACATCTTTCTTATTTTTCATCTACTGCGCAGTTAACTTCGTTAGATCGGACTGTTAAATTGATCCGTGCTGAGGCAATACCTCCTAGATAAGTGCAGGCCTCAGCACGGGTTACCATAAATATCCTTTAGTATTCCAAACTTAATAATGACATATTTCGTATTTTCAACCATTGCCCAGCTTAGTGCCCTTAACGAAATCACATCTTTCTTATTTTTCATCTACTGCGGAGTTAACTTCGTTAGATCGGACTGCTAAATTGATCCGTGCTGAGGCAACACCTCCTAGATAAGAGCAGGCCTCAGCACGGGTTACCATAAATATCCTTTAGTAGTCCAAACGTAATAATGACGTATTTCGTATTTTCAACCATTGCCCAGCTTAGTACCCTTAACGAAATGACATCTTTCTTATTTTTCATCTACTGCGCAGTTAACTTCGTTAGATCGGACTACTAAATTGATTCGTGCTGAGGCCTTCCTTCTTCTAGGAGGTGTTGATCGTACAGCAGTATTTTCAAAAGTACCTGAAGATTTTTCTCTCTTTTTATTTTATTTTATTCGTGATTGTAAAAGATAAGTTTTAAATCAGAATACATCATAATATGCACGCTACGTTTAATTATTGACTTTTAATTTCTTAATCATACAGAGCTAATGACACTAGTTAAATATGATTTTACCAGACAATGAAATAAAAATAATGATTGTTTGAATCGGAGATACAAACCGAATTGAACCAAAGTTATAAATTACGTGATTATAAGAAACTTTGATCAATACGTATTTTTTTTCTTATTGAGATTACGTATAATAGTAAAAAATGTATTAACAGGACAACTAAAATCGGGTATCACACACACGGGTATACAATTCATCCTTTGCATAACTTTTTTATGATTTTAGTGTTATTTATAATTTTTCGGATAAAAACAAAATATTTTTTTAATTTTTAAAATAAATATTAATATTGCTTAATGCTCCACAATTTGGGTTTCAAGTTTGCCTTTATGCTATAATAATTTATTTTAAACAATGCATATTATAAAAATTTTAGTACGTTAACGTAAAATTATAAAAGTATTTGAACTAAAATAACAAATTTTGATTTTGTTATTTGTCTCTTTATTTAAAAAAAAGTATTACTAAATACCTGATAAGAAAATACTATCTACTTGTTGCTTGAAACATTGATAGTCCTCGACCTCATTAGCATTCTATATTAAAAAAAATGTAGTGACAATCAAAACGAGAACTAGTCCCTTTTTATTTCAGAAATCAAAATAAAATACATATAATAATAACAAATGGAAACAGCTTTGACAACCTATAATAATTAGTTAATAATAGGACCTATTATTAGTAATAGAACCTATTTAATATTTTAGTTTATTAACCTATTTAATATTTAACTAGTTAATATTTTCCTGAATAAAAATATACAGTAATGAATATAAATATAAAATTTCCTAAATAGAAATCACTATCCAAAGAATTTTTCCTATATAATAAAATAATTTTCTAAATAATAAAAGAAAAGTATTCTTATAAATTTTATTTAAATATAATTTTATTTTGATCGAAAAAAAATCTATATTCCATGAAATGGACTTTTTACATTTTTAAGTTCATGCAACTAAAATATATAATTAAATTAGCTTGAAGTTATTAGAAAATATATATATTTTAACGCATCAATATTGGTTACAGAGCGAAAATAAAGAGCGATTTGATTGCAAAATATTGGTGTGAAAAAAATGCGCCAAATCCAATGCATGTGCTTCATCAAAAATGCAGTAAATATATCAGAATATTTATATCAATATGAAATTTAATTGTAATGAAAATATCTACAAATGTTAACTATTAATTTAAATAAAAAAATAAATAGGTATATATCGTATGTTCCGTGTGAAACATGCGCCAAATTGTGTTCGAAGATTTTCGCGAGAAAATGTGAGACAAAACTTGGCGAATTTCAAAATACGGCGCCAAAGAGGTGCCTGGGAGTCGACAAAGTGGAAAGTCGCTGTCAGGACTTAGGGGATAAGATTATGGTCTCTTGGCTAGCCAATAACCATTTATACATTCCGCTAATGTGGTGATCGCAACTTGGCGTCACATAACGTAAAAATATACCATTTTTCTCTTAAACGAATTGACTGTGCGAAATCGGAACTACGAAATGATGTAGAAAAAATTAAGATCAAGATGAGGTGTGAAGAGACTGTAATGTGGAGATTGTCCCTGTGACAGATCCATTACACTTTGGCAAAAAATTCGTTTAATTACTTACGAAAAAAAACAAACAAAATAGCGTTTTATTACTATTAAATTCTAAATAAGATATGAAATAAATAAAAATTCTGTAAAATTCTGCTAAAAATACTAAAGTTTTAAATGCAGTTATTAAAATAACAGATTCTATAGCAGCAAATTTATATAAATGTTTAAAAAAACACACACACAGACGGTAGTGGACTGGTAGACCTAGCTGGTAGAGGCGTTTTCATTGAAAAATCTGGACAAAATTACTCCATCTGTCTCCGTAATCCTGATTTCACTTCAGTCTTTCGAAGTGAATTAATCGCAATTGAACAGGGCATCGATGCTATAATCAACGAGAGTGACTTTGGAGATCTTTGGATCCTGTCGGACAGTCGCAGCTCCCTTCAACACCTACACAATTGGACTAAAGTTGGAGACAAAACAAGCATCTCCATCCTTCTTAAACTTCAACTTATTTCAAAGCACCACGACGTTCATCTTCAGTGGATACCATCCCACGTTGACATTTTTGGCAATGAACAAGCGGATCGCTTGACCAAGGAGAGCTGCAGGCATTTAACATCTTCGTCCTCAGCCCTTACCTACTCAGAGTATCAGTCCGAAATCAAAAGCCATCTGTAGAAAAAGTGGAGGATCCCCCCCCCCTCTCATCATTGGTATGCGGCCAAGGAAGCGGACTCTTCACTTGCTCATATAGGTGATAGAGCATCTCAAACAGCTATTTCCAGATTGGCAAGTGGACACACGAATAGTCTCTCGTACTTTGAAGGACTTATGCAGTCTGCTCCAAATGTGAAGCCCAGCAGGCCTCAGCCGAACATATCCTTGACTGCTTTGGCCTTTCCAAGGAGGACTTATTTGCTACTCCACTTCTTGTCATCGACTTTTTGAGGGTGAACAACCTATTGGATCTTGTCTGACTTCGTCAGACAATTGGAGGATAAGAAACAACAACAACAACAAAGACAACTTTTAATTATAAAATTAATTCATTTTTATGATGTTTTAAATATTAAATTCAATTTTTTTTGTTTGTGAAATAAAATTTTTAAATTAAATTTTTGATGCTTCAAAAAGTACTTAATTAAAAAATAGGTGTTTCAAATTAATTATATATAGAAATAGTACTTTATTTTAAGCAATTTATTTATTATAAATTGAAAAGAAAGGAACTAAAAAAGTGAAAAATTAAAAGCGTTTTTAAAAATGTATTGTAAATAATGTTCTCAAAAATAAATACAGTTTTTTAAAAATAACAATTTTAAAAGATAAATCTTCCTAAAAAAAAAACAATATTTTTGAAAATAAGAATTTTTTTCAAAATATAAATAATGTTATTTAAAACAAGAATTCCCTTTAAAAAGAATACGTATGTTTTTAAAGCAAGATATTCCTACAAAAATGCTTTTTGAAACTAACATTCATTTTTGAAAAATAAATATTGTTTCTAAAAATGAAATTTGAAGAAAAATGTGCATATACTTTTCGATTGTTGAAATATAATTCTACTAGCTTTTCTTGCTGTTTCAAACATCCTTAG